GTAGGTATCCATTTTATATACGTCGATCTATAGATGTGGGAGCTAACAATACATAATCAATATCGCGTTTGTAAATTGCCTTCAAACAGGTCTGAAAATTGTAAACCTCGAATTCAGGTACATGGTCAGCCATCAATCAAGCTGATTGATTGACCAGCTATGTAGTCTAAGGGTAAAGTAGGTGGTGAGCTTACATTATATAGACACGAATGCTTCAAGAACAGCTGATCAACGTTTTCATACAATTTTGCATGATAAATAGTTTTTTTTTTATACAACTTAGAATAGCAATACTTAGAATACGCGCGCGTAATACCTCTGGTATTGCAGGCGTTCATAGGCTACGGTAACCGCTTACCATTAGGTGGGCCGTATGCTTGTTTGCCACCTCAGTGGTATAAAAAAAAAAAAAGCAAACAAGCTGACGGCCCACCTGATGGAAAGCGGTAACCGTCGCCTATAGACATGAGCAGTACCATGGACAAAACAGAGTATACTGTTTCGCCCATGATACCCCTCATGCGTTGCCATTCCTGAGGACTCAGGTGTTATTCCTCTGTACCCAGTAAATTCACGCCATATCCCACCCTTCAAACTGAAACACAGCCATGCAAACACAACTGCTTCACCGTTGAAACACAAATGGAACAGAGGTGGCCAAGCAATCGATTTTTGTACAAAGTCTCCTTCCTTTATAACTTTTATATTTATTTTGTTTTATAATTTTTGCATTTTTTTCAATGCGTAAGAACTCATTGTATTTATTAAATATGGATACTTCACGATACATTATGTACATAAATATATAGAATACTGTTAAGAAAAAAAACGAGTCGGCTAATTTGAAAATTAGCTGACACAAAGTTGACCCGTTTTTAAAACTCGATGCTCTATTTAACAATCTAAGGTGAAAAGAAAGGCACTACATCTATTTAATAACTCTATTTTCAACCGATTTAAAAATAAAGAGGTTCTTAATACACTTGTACTTTTTTTATGTTTGTCACCTCACAACTCCGTCAGTTGTAAACCGATTTGAACTATTCTTTTTTCTACCTGAAAGTTTATACTTACAGATTGGTTACATAGAAATTTTATCAAAATCGGCTGAATAATTTTGTTTTTAAATCAAAATGATTGGTTTTAACACAATGTAAGTTGATTTTTTTTTGTGAAACAATTTTCATAGAATATAATTGTTTTTTACATAGAATTGCTACAAATTATAGCTAACATGCTGACGGCGGGGGGAAGGGATTGTTAGCAATAGAGTTTGACAGCCCCATTGCTAGCAATATGCCCTATCAGGTCAACCTCCGCGTGGTTCCCTCTAGAAACCATCGTGAACAATTTTTGTTGAATTCATCACGATGGGCTAACTGGCCTGCTTCTCCCTCGTCTATCATCCTTCACTGGCACCAGCCGATATATACCGATAGCGCGGATAGGGTTACTATTTGATTATCAGCTATAAAAAAAAAGCTGACGGCTCGATTGATGGTGACGCTTCCAGACATAAACAGCAACAGTGATGTTAACAACTGTATCGCCCATGATACACCTCATGCGTTGCCACGTATTGGTGATTTAATATACCAAACCTCATAGTAACAATGTTACCTATTTGAAAAATATGTTTAACAAAAGGCATTTTAAATAATTTTAACAAATTGTTTACCTACTTTTTATAAATTCAACAAAACTTTTTAGTTAACATTTTTAACTGCAATGTATTTAACGTTACAAATGGGGGCAACGGCGTACAACACGCGCGTGCAATGTACATACATACATACATACATACATGAACAGGTCAGGGCCTGTCAATATTTACTATAATCATGTAATATTAGAATAGAAGGTAGCCACGCAATGTTCACCTGAGCATGTCAACGGCCGAATACATATTGGAGTCGATAAGCACCATTTCTCCTAAACCTATCGGTCTTTTCAATTGTGAAGACATTTTATTTATTTATTTTTAACTATAACATTTAAGTCGATCGGTACACATGTATGACTGTAACTACTAATGAACTGTCAGTTGTTCTCATATTGGGTTTGCTGGAGGAAATCTCTATTGGAGATAAGCTCGCCCTTGTGCACTATTATGTTTGTTTTTACATTTCAATAACCTTTTGTGTACAATAAAGAATAAAGAACTTATATTTTTATTCGATAACTAGTCGTATCCTGCGGCTTTACGCGTGACTATATAAACGCGCGCGTACGTATATAAACTGTCCTATATGTTAAGCTATAAGCCGTTTCGGTCCTGCCATAGAATGGGCTACCACTTCCATTCCCGTGGGTGTTGTAAGAGGCGACTAAGGGAGCTTATGGTGGAGGGATGGGCAGCAGCGTCCCTCTTTAAACATCTGTAAAAGCCAAACTGCGGTTGTGAACCCGCCTGCCAAGCGTGACAACTACTGGCAAAACTCCCCTTATGGGGAAGGCTTATGTTCAGCAGTGGACAGTTTACGGCTGAAATAATAAAAAAATATCTTAAGTTACAATATAATCTACGCGTGTACCGAATCTCATTCGACTCTGTTCGGTAGTTTTTGCGTGAAAGAGTAACAAACATGCATTTATTCATCCATGCTTACACACTTTCGTGTTTGTACCACCTACTTTTTTTTTCTGTTTGCCCAATGCTTTGACTGGTAGAGAACACCGTCCGGTGTTAAGTCCGTCAAATGTACATAGAATTTTATTCTATCTTCGGTTGCCAATCCGCCTGCCAAACATAGCAACTACTAGCAAAACTCCACATTAATAGAAGGCCTATGTTTAGCAGTGGACAGTTAAAAGCTGACATGATAATGATGGTTTGCTACAGTTCGAGAAATTGGGTAGTTTTTATCCAAAAGAACATTTGCAAAGCAATAGGGAACAAAACAGCGTTTGCCGGACCAACAGTTATAAGTACAGACAATGTGACTTTTATCTGTTAAAACAATTATTGTATACAAAAACAAACAAATTGATGTCTCATTGAAGGAAACAGGATAAATAAATATACATATATAATTAATTTATATATGAACAATATATAGATTATTCTATATTGAGAATTGTAGGTACGTGCACAGTTCTTTTTTTTTTAAATATTTTAAGGGCTTTTACCTTCTTCAGGTATATCAGTCCTATTGTACCCTGAACTGATTTCTCCAACAAAACTTTATCTACCTTCCCTAGACGCGGAAAGAGAAGAATTAATGGGCATCAATAATTTACAGAGATGTTAAAAAATTTCTGGTTTAAGTTCAGCTAACATAGTTTGAATAAGACCAACATTCAATTTATATAAGTTAAAGTGGCGCATGAATTCTTCTCTTTCCTTCGTGTTAATACGACACTCTAATAGAATATGATGCACATCATCGATGGTATTACAAGTTTGACAATGATGCACAGTTCTTAAAACAAGGCCATTGCAAAAGAGATTATAATTATTATACTAATTATCTAGTTATTTAATAAGTTGTACCAGAGAGACACTTAGTACAAAAGTCGCTTGCTTGGGTACCTCTGTCCCATTCGTGTTTCAACCGTGAAGCAGTTGTGTTTGCACGGCTGTGTTTCGGTTTGAAGGGTGAGATATGGCGTGAATTTACAAGGTACAGAGGAATAACATCTGAGTCCTCAGGAATGGCAACGCATGGGAGGTATCATGGGCGAAACGGTATACTCTGTTATGTCCATGGTACTGCTCATGTCTATAGGCGACGGTTACCACTTTCCATCAGGTGGGCCGTCAGCTTGTTTGCCATTCTAAGTTGTATAAAAAAAATATTAAAAAAATAAAACTGTCCACTGCTGAACATAAGCCTGCTCCTGTTAGTGGGTTTTACCAGTAGCTGCCACACTTTTCAGAGCTTCTTTCAGGGTTGGTAACAGCAGTAAATCTTTGGCAATGTTTTAAAAGGGACGCTGCTGTTTATTCTTCAACCATTAAGTACCCTTAGTGGCTTCTTACGACACCCACGGGAAAGATTAATAAAACAAAAAATCCCAGATGATTCGGTCAAAACTGTTAGTTTTAGTTTTATACAACTTAGAATGGCAAACAAGCTGACGGCCCACCTGATGGAAAGTGGTAACCGTCGCCTATAGACATGAGCAGTACCATGGACATAACAGAATATACTGTTTCGCCCATGATACCTCCCATGATATCATGTCGTACGTCTCAATCGTAGCAAAACCAGTTATTTCGAATTAAAAACTAAATTACTGAACCAATTTTGATAAAATTTGTATGGGACCAATCAAAAATAAAAATACAACAGAATCGAGAACCTAGTCTACTTTTGAAGTTGGTTGAATAACTCTATAAAGCCAATGGCGTCTCCCATACTCCTATTCTAATTATGCAATAAAACATTTTTACTGACTCAGCATTTTTTATTTACATTATAACTAGGCCATTGTCCCACGCTGATCACAATGAAGTTCAATACTCCCGAACCGTTTACCGTAAATTCATTTTACGGTGTTCAGTGTCCATTTCACCATGTAACTACCATGAAATTCTCTCCGTTTCGGACTTATTTGAGATACAAAATTGATCATAAAAAAATTGTCTTAAATAGATTTAGTTCCACAAAAAGACCGTAACTCCAATGAACGAGATAGCTAGCTGATAAATATATATGTACTTATAATGTATATACTTATATGTTAAAAGAGATTAAAAAGAGAAACTGTTGAGTTTCTTGCGGGTTCATCTCAGCAGATAACAATTTTCCGAACCCTGCAGTATATTTAAAAAACAAATTGACGATTTACAAGTGCTTGCAAACAAGTCTATTTGAACAAAGATGATATACGCATTTGGGAAAAGAATTGAATCCTGACAATTCAGATCCCTCTCGTCTATGCGTTCAATTTTGATACATACATGGAATCAGTTATGAAATTTGGATTGTAAATTTCCAAATGTCTAATCGTAGATCTATCTTACTTACTTATATATACATATTTTCAATTTACAGATGGTTGCTCCCGTTACTCGTATGCTCAACCGTGGCTCCAGCGCCACAGGACAACAGTGACATCACATACGTCAAAATCCAGCCTTTACCTGGCGACCCTCTTCCGAACCACTCCTCAAGGGAGTCCCGGATTCAAATCCTGCCATTGTCCATAGGCGGGACCACTCCGGACAACGCTAACAACCAGTCGACCAAATCAAGCGAGATCACCACCAAAGCGGACGTTAGAATTATTAATGATGTATTTAAAAAAACAATTACTACATCTAATAACACTGACAATAATGACAGTTATCCTGGTACTAACAGTACAGGTGTCAAATCTGTCAAACCACTTTCAGATCAGACGATCGATGCGGCTATTATAAATAAACTGAACAGGATATCCCCTGACGGTCTCGCTCAGATCACGATTTCTACAGAAAGTCTATCCGAGAGTAATCACGACAAGAGATTTGCCAGAAACGAGGACTTCACAACGGCTAATTATGATGCAGAGACCACAGAAGCGTCTGAATCACCAACTGTTGCAAACGAAGCGAGAACTAAACCACCAAGATACATTTCCAAGTTAAGTTATTTTCACAAAACAACAAGTTCAGGTGGCTCGATCAATTTGCTGGAGACCGGTGGAAAGAAGAGGTTCCGATCCAAGTGTCGATGCGAGAAGATATGGAATTGTCCGAAGTTGCAGATCACAGTGCCGCGATGTCCCAATGAATATTTCTTATGCTGCTTTTAAAGTATTTATGATAAATAAAAAATATTAAAATAATTTAGCTATCTCTTATGGCCTGCGCGGACGAAACACGTTCTATTTTAACTGTAAAAATAACTGGTTTCTTACAATTATTTCAATCGAGAATGCTCGACTAGTTTCGGGACTATCCGGAACTCTTAATCAGGAGCTGTGGTGACGCGAGCGCAAATTACTTCGGTTATTTTTACAGTTAAATTATAATGCGTACTTACTAAATACATTTTGTCCGTAAACAAAATTGATCTTGAGTCTTTCTAAACTTTAAAATCTGAGGTGCATATTTAAGGGGGGGAGGGGCGAAGTGGGATTGTTGTTCGGTGCACATGCCAGGATGGGAACGAAGCTTTGAACGACCCCCCTCTGGACAGTAATCTGAAATACACCAACGCTGACAAGAGACAATCCTGAATGTACTTTAATGCGGTCATAATAAAACCCTTAAGTTTGCATGCTGCAACACACATCATCATTATACAGCTTTTAACTTTCCACTGCTCCTCCATAGACCGCCATAAGGAGCGTGACCATTCTTAATGGCACTTTACCATTGGGAGGATATTGCCAGCAGCAGTTGCCATCTGCAAGCGGATTGGCAATCACAGTTTATTTGGTTTAAAGCGGTCAAAATAAGACCTCTAAGATTGCATGCTACAACGCATATCATCATCAGCATCATCATGCCAGCCGTTAACTATCCACTGCTGAACATAGGTCTCCCCTATTAAGGGGGGTATAACGCACAAGTGTTGTATAACTACAGGGCCGAAACAATGAGTTTCTGAACAAACAGAGACTTTGTACAAAAGTCGATTGCTTGCATACCTCTGTCCCATTCGTGTTTCAACCGTGAAGCAGTTGTGTTTGCATGGCTGTTTCGGTTTGAAGGGTGGGATATGGCGTGAATTTACTGGGTACAGAGGAATAACACCTGAGTCCTCAGGAATGGCAACGCATGGGGGGTATCATGGGTGAAACAGTACACTCTGTTATGTCCACGGTACTGTTCATGTCTATAGGCGACGGTTACCACTTTCCATCAGGTGGGCCGTCAGCTTGTTTGCCATTCTAAGTCATATAAAAAAAAATAAACAATTCCTCGTTTGCGCAGGTCTTTTGAGATATTATGTAGGTATATGTGACCTTACAGATATTTCCTCGCAAGTTTTCGTTTTAGTCCCACCGAACGAAATTCATATTTATTAGCCAACAGTTGTAAATCAAGCTTCGTCGTAAATAAACTGAATTATTTACTAAATACATTTTAACGTTTAGTTCTATATACATAAAACCAGACACGTGCAAATTTATATATTTATTTTTATATATAGAATATTGAAATATGATAACCAATTATATGGTCCACCTGTTTTTTTTTGTGGGTCATAATGTAATGGTAACCCCACCCGCGCTGTCGCTATACACCGGCGGGGCACCAGTGAAGGATGATAGGTGAGGATGAAGCAGGTCAATTAGCCCATCTTGACGAATTCAACAAGAATTGTTTACGATAGTTTCCAGGGGGGACTACGTGGAGGTCGACCTAATACCAGAGGGAGACTGTACAAAAGTCGATTGCTTGGGTACCTCTGACCCATTCGTGTTTCAACTCTAAGTTAGTAATGGAGACTGAGAATCCTATTGCTAGCAATATACCCAACCAGGTCGAGCTCCTCGCGGTTCCCCCTGGAAACTATCATGGTTAATTCCTGATGAATTCATCATGATGGGCTAACTGGCCTGTTTTCATTCTCATCTATCACCCTTCACTGGTGCTCCGCCAGCGCATCCCGTTAGCGCAGGCGGGGCTATCATACCATTTTCACCCATCAAAAAAAATCTCACATATTTATCAGCATCTCAAATTAGAAAGCTTACGACGAAAGCACTGGTGTTTACTTGAACAATCCCGCGACTTTACCCGCTTCAGCTTATACCTAACTGTAGCAAGTTTTATGTTATCTACTCTGTGGTATTTTTATTATTACCTTAAGGTTTATGTTATTTAAATGTAATAAAATTCATTAAAAATAATATAATAACTTTTCTTCTTTCATATTTTTTTATGCAACTTAGAATGGCAAACAAGCTGACGGCCCACCTGATGGAAAGTGGCAGCCGTCGCCTATAGACATTATAAAAGTACCACTTACCATCAGGTGGGTCGTGAGCTTGTTTACCATTGTAAGTACCATAAAAAAAAATTTTTGATGGATAAATTAAAAACCAATTATTTAATACGATATTTTATTTGATTGGCACATTTCATTACGTTTATAAATTTATCACAAATTAAGTGAGACATTTGACCACAAAAAAAAATTTATAGAATCACACTTCGTCAACATAATTTCTACTGAAAATGAGCAAGTATCAAATTATGTTTTAGGCAGTAAACACACTGCCATAGTTCACAGATTACGTGGTAATATATTTGCCAGTACAGAATAATAAAGGTCCTTTTAGGGATGGGTAATATCGAATGAGTACTACTCCGATATCTATATATTGGTCCGATATCTGTATATCCGATATTGGTCTGGACATTGATGACAGAAAAAACCATTACACATTACTATACGACCCATATCAGTTGGATATCTATATTCATTTCAATATTGGATAACTCATATTTAATTTAATCGTTATAGAGCCAATATATAGGTACTGCAACCGCAATATATATATATATATATTTTTATATATCACCCATCCATAGTGGTTATTGGTTTTGTTATACCAATTTCGGCTGTATGTTAATACACCTAAAGGTGCTAATTCGTTGATCTACTCTGATCTTTACGTGTTACACTACACGTGTATGGTAGTATGTTTTCTGCCTTGGACAAAAAAACTTCCACTGTACAAAAGTGGAAAAATAGTTATTAACCCTTCTTTGCATATTAGTGGAAATTTCCATCATAACATTGAATGCCCAAAAATTATATAAAAGAACAAGTTCACTTTAAGTTGATCGTGTCCGGATACATTTTTAGTGTCTACTGCAAAAAGCAAAACTTAGCTGTCAAATTTATTTTTTAACCATTTTTCCTATAATTTTGAACATGAATTATATCACCTTGATTTAGTTCACCAATAAAAAAATCATGCAAAAAAGGGTTAATAACTTATAGTAGAAATTTTTGGATTATCATAAATCACAATTACATAGAGTTATTAGATCCACAGGTATATTTTAATTATAAAAGTATAAAATGATAGCACAGTAAGACAGTTTTTTATTTTTGACACTAGGTTTGCAAGGCAAACGAGCATACGGCTCACCTAATGGCAAATGACTACCGCCGCCCATGAGCACTCGTAACACCAGAGACATTGCTGGTGTGCTGACGGCTTTTAAAAAGGCATATGCAATTTTCTTTAAGGCTACGACGTCGTAACGTTTAGGAAATACTGCTGCTGGAAGTTGATTCCGAAGCATGAATGTGGAAGAAAATGCCTTGAAAAATGCACGGTAGAGGAACTTTGTCAGGTATCTCCAACTGCAGCGGTCATAAGGATAAGTACTTACGCTTATCAGTTGTGCCATAAGTTTGCTTAGTTTTGGACTAGATGGCGCTTTCTTGTATCTCTAGAGCTATATTATCATTTCGCCAGAATAATGTGTGAAGTCAAGAACAGCGTCCTACTGACGTATCTCTCGTGACATTTAAAGATGCGTTATATCGGTACCGTTCCCGTATCTATATATTGGACTTCTCTGAAAATTGATAGCGGTAAAAAAGTTCCCCTATTTCAATATTAGCCACACTAGTTTGTTATCTGTATTTATTTCGATGGGTAATATGGATAACCGTGATATAAGACCAATATATAGATATTGTAACTAACAATATATAGGTATTGCCATATATAACCCATCTCTAGTCATAGTCATAATATCTCAATTTAAAGACTTGTCTACACTGTCTTAAAGGGTTGTCTACACTGAGTTTTACTAATAAATAATAAATTTTTTCAATCATAGTCGATGTTAGGGTTTATAGCACCAATATTTCATTATAATCCTTACAAATGTCAAATTTATAAAATGCAATTTTTTTTTACAGTACACGTAGAAATTCTATTACATGCATATGTATTTAGTCATAATAACTTGGCTAAACACGTCAATTTTATAATATTTAATTTAAAAAAAAAAAAAAGATAATTTGGCACAAAGAACACAAGAGTTATGTATGATTAATTTTGTATGATTCAATTAAACAAACTTATCTATTATAAATTAAAACATTACGAAAAAAAAAATGTATTTAGCGAATTATTGATTCGTCTAACTAAATCATTAGCATGACGATGATAGATATTTCGAAAGATAGATCGATATAATTTTTTTTTCTGTTACCAACGTGCTTTTTGGAATACTGACTTTTTGTGCATAAGGAAGCGTCAATTATATAAAAACAAAAACATAATCGTGTCAAAATAACGCATGCAACTTTTTTTTTTATATTGGAAGTTTTAAATTATTTTAATATATTTACATTCCTAGCTTAGTAACTGCTATAAAAATATCTCTCAGGTTAACATAACTGTGGCTGAACAAGTTAACAACAAATTATACAATGTATGTTTAAAACTAGAAACCTTTAATTGCTATATCTGAGCTTATATAGTATGTAATAAAAAAAATACAGCGTTGTTCTCGATTTGAAAACGCGTCACTATCAAATACATAGCCATGAGTAATCTTATATTTAAATGCAGATTAAAAAACTGTTAAAGTTAACTAGTGGCGACCCTGTACATGCTGTTGAATTCGTCACGATGGGCTAACTGACCTGCTTCATCCTCACCTATCATCCTTCACTGGTGCCCCGCCGGTGTATACCGATAGCGCGGGTGGGGTTACCATTCCATTATCATACATTAAAAAAAAAACCCTGAACATGCAAACACATTTATAATGTACCTACCATAGGGGTCCCAGTATATTCCTTTAAATGTGACAAAAATTTGTGTCATTCTTATCACAATTTGTGACCACATATTTATAAAAAAAAAAAAAACTTATTTTGTCAATTGTCAAGTTTAAAAACAAAGTCAATATTTTTTTTTACATAAATTTAGCAAATTACTACAATATTTACATGAACTATTAAATTAAAAATATTTTACTATATGTATGAATACTGTGATGTGCTTTGTCTGATGCAAGTTTTAGAAAAAAAAAAACTGTACCATAGAGCAACCGTATTCCTTAAATATTAAACGAAATAGTATTATTAATTTTTTTAAATGAACAAGTATGCTCACGACTGTAATCTTTGATGGGACAGTCGGAGACAATTGTCGATTGCCGTTGTGGCAAACATATTCGACGTGGCTACACTTCGCCGGACATATACTCAGCATGGCTACGGGCCAGCTTCGTCTTCTGAAGTGCATAACTTTAAATTATGTGTCAAAATTGAAGTTAGAGTAAATCTTTTCTTACAATACTTGTTTACATCATCAATGTGTCTGTCGATATCTTACATATACACAGTTTTTACTTGCAAACGGTTTCCAATTCTCTATTTGACCAGTTTGGTATTTATAAATCTTAGTACCATAACATATTTTATATACAATTAACTTTACAAAACCATTGGCATTGCCATTGAAAAATATACTAGAGCTGCTGGACTTCTTACATTTAATTTGTTCACTTTATTCCCTCTCTATGACCAGCCCGTGTCCAACAGTGGAACGATAATTTTAAAAATATTTTGAATGACAAGGGAAATTGTTAAAAAAATATTTCTCTCTCAATTTTAAATACGTCTCTATCTAAATATTCCTCTAATATTTTAGTATACGTTATAATCACAATTAAATATTACTAGCTAGGGGACAATATATAAATGTATCGTACATTATGTATGTATGTGTGTGGCAAGTCTCGTCTCAGTCGGGGAACTGTTGGTCGGACTCTCTTCTGCAACGTTCCTGTGGAGAAATATATATTTTTTTTATACGACTTAGAATGGCAAAGAAGCCGACGGCCCACCTGATGGAAAGTGGCAACCGTCGCCTATAGACATGAGCAGTACCATGGACATAACAGAGTATACTGTTTCGCCCATGATACCCCCCATGCGTTGCCATTCCTGAGGACTCAGGTGTTATTCCTCTGTACCCTTACTGGGTACAAAAGTCGATTGCTTGGGTACCTCTGTCCCATTCGTGTTTCAACCGTGAAGCAGTTGTGTTTGCATGGCTGTGTTTCGGTTTGAATGGTGGGATACGAGGTCTGTCCGGAAAGTTCGTATAAAAGTGTTCTGGAATGCGAGAAAGAGGAGTGGGGAGGCCAGGTAAGCGCAGGACCCCTTCCTTATGTCCCTAAAAATGCTTCAGTTCTGGTCTGACCGCCGTGCGGTCGAACTGGCTTGTCACGCCATCTGTGAAGTTACCTCTTAACGAAACCCCGTCGGCATGGAGCCCGCTTCCGTTGAAGAGCAGCGCGTCGTAATCAAGTTTCTCTCGAAACTCGGCAAGAATGGCCGTGAAATTTTTGCCGATCTCAGAACAGTTTATGGGGATGATGCTGTGAAGGAACCAACCGTCCACAAGTGGCTAAAAAGATTCAGAGAGGGCCGAGAAAGAGTTCGATGTTCGAGGATCAAGAATTCGTCCCTCCAGGCCAGACAGTTGATGGAAAATTCTACGTCGATGTGCTCAGACGCCTCAAAGCTCGTGTGGCACGAGTTCGTCCAGAATTGGCGCGAGAGGGGCGTTGGATTCTTCACCACGACAATGCCCCTGCCCACACCTCTCTTGTTGTCCGTGAGTTTTTGAGTAAAAATTCCATTACGGTGACCGAACACCCCCCCTATTCGCCGGATTTGGCCCCGTGTGACTTCTTCTTGTTCCCAAAAACCAAATTGGTACTTCGGGGGCGGCATTTGGGGGACATAAATGAGATAAAAAAAAGCTACGACGGGGCAGCTGAGAAACCTACAACCAGAGGACTTTCAAGGAGCCTTCTCACAGTGGAAACGGCGTTGGCACAAGTGCATTATGTCACAGGGGGAGTACTTTGAAGGGGATAAAATTGATTTACCTGAATAATTGTAAAATAAAATTTTTAAAAAACTTTTATACGTACTTTCCGGACAAACCTCGTATGGCGTGAATTTTCAAGGTATAGAGGAATAACGTCTGGGTCCTCAGGAATGGCGACGCATGGAGGGTATCATGGGCGAAACAGTATACTCTGTTATGTCCATGGTACTGCTCATGTCTATAGGCGACGGTAACCACTTTCCATCAGGTGGGCCGTCAGCTTGTTTGCCATTCTAAGTAGTATAAAAAACGAAAAAAAATACTAACTTGGTGCTCAATGATGAGGTATAAAGGCAGCGACTCGGTACAGAACTCGCAGGGTATGACGGGCTCCTCGTGTAACGTATCGTAGAACGAGGGCGCTGCACGGCGGAAGCCGCGCCCGCGCGGCTGCAGCTGCATCAGGTCCGGCCGCAGCTGCGTCAGGTCCGGCCGACAGCCAGTCTGACGACATTTGACAACACTTTTAATCAATCCGCCATCTTCTCACTGCGGCCATTTTGAAAGTATTAAAATACCAGCCATTTCCAGCGTCTAACTATGTAGCTCCCGTATGTCATTCCCATTGGAACTCTTCATGAATCCGATCTTATATTGTATTATATACTTAAATGATAATTACGTACCTAAGGCCTTCATAAAGTTTCAGCCAATTCAACTGATCGGTTATTTTATACGGCCCACCTGATGGTAAGCGGTTACCGTAGCCTATGAACGCCTGCAATACCAGAGGTATTACGCGCGCGTTGCCGACCCTGAAGAAACCTCTTTACCCCCTTTTGAAGTACTCCATGCTGTAGTCTCTTGGAAAAACCTCGGCGGGGAGTTAAGTAAACCGCAACGCATTAATGGAAATTGCGTTTAAATCAGTTAAGCCGTTTCTGAGATTAGCGTACATAAACGTACAAACACAAAAATTCTAAAAATCATTCTATCGCGTTCATAAAGCCCCCTATAATAGTTTTTCTTATATATATATATATATATATATATATATATATATATATATATATATATATATATATATATATATATATATATATATATATATATATATATATATATATATATATATATATATTGATGGAGTATTGTCTTGCCACCAGACGTGGCGTGACGTGGTAACGTGGTAGGTGGGTGGGTTTTGCGTGCGTGCGTGCGTGCGTGCGTGCGTGTGTGCGTGTGTGCGTGCGTGCGTGCGTGCGTGAGTGCGTGCGTGCGTGCGTGCGTGCGTGCGTGCGTGCGTGCGTGCGTGCGTGCGTGAGTGCGTGCGTGCGTGCGTGCGTGCGTGCGTGCGTGCGCGTGCGTGCGTGCGTGCGTGCGTGCGTGAGTGCGTGCGTGCGTGACGTGCGTGTGTGCGTGCGTGCGTGTGTGCGTGCGTGCGTGCGTGTGTGCGTGCGTGCGTGCGTGCGTGCGTGCGTGCGTGTGTGCGTGCGTGCGTGCGTGCGTGCGTGCGTGAGTGCGTGCGTGCGTGCATGCGTACGTACGTACGTGCGTGTGTTGAGAAAGACAGAGAATGAGATACACGTACCTGATGCAACACGAGGTGGTTTGCAGGCACAAGGACATTGCAGAACTCACACGGAAGTTGCGCATTCACCTCGCACCCGTCGTGTGCTGCTATCGCTTGGGCTGTCAGGGGGACCTGTGTAGCGGCCTGTGGGGCGTCAGAGGCCTGGGAACCCCAGGGGGCCCGAGTACCCTGATGTCCCTGGAGACCCTGGTGTCCCTGGAAGCCCTGGGAGCCCCGGGGGTCCCGATTAACTCGCCGGGGTGACGGCCTGACATTACTATAATAAGAATACAATGGGCACTTTTTTTAAAGTATTAATTTTTTTTTATAAAAGACATAAGATTTAGTTTCACAAAAAAAATCTTCAATGATGGCATGACCAGTTTTTTTTTTATTTAAAAGCAAAACTACAGAACCTGTTTTGATAAATTATGATTAATATAGTAAATTCTATACCGTGTCGTTCCGCCGTATAATGGGCCATCCCTTCCTTTCCCATGGCTACTCTAAGAGGCGACTAAGGGTACTTAATGATAGAGGGACGAGCTACAGCGTCCCACTTAAAAAAAAGTCGAATTAGCAACTGCGGTTGCTAATCCGACTGCTAAGCGTGGCAACTACTGGCAAAACCCCCTCAAGGGTGAGGGTTATGTTCAGCAGTGGACAGTTAAAGGCTGATATGATGTATGTATATATATGTATATGTATAGTCATACAATTTTTAACATATATAATCACGTATACATTTTTTTTTATTTCATTTTTTGTACATATTGACAATCTTTTCAAACCGTATCATTCTTTGAAGGAAACCATAGTTTTCGTTCACTTTTGTTTTTGAATGTTCTATGTATATGTATGTATATAGTTCTATGTATATCTATGTATATTTAAGATAAATATGAATAAAAATTATATGAATGTACATTCGAAACATCTTCAATAAAATAAACTTGTTTATAAGCAGTTTTAAATCGTCATTTTTTATAACTACTGCAGATTTACATAGTAGATCATAGCAGATAGATTTAAATAACCTGCAAGAAGCTCAACAGTTACTCTTTTAAATCTCTGTTAACATTATGACTGTATTTATTTATATGTACTATGTCTAAAATTACATGGGCGTTAAAACCCCGTGAAAGATCCACTAACACCATGCACATAGGTGGGAAAGGGATTGTTAGCAATGGAGTTTTATAGCCCCATTGCTAGCAATATAACCTGTTAGGTCGACCTCCACGTGGTTCCCCCTGGAAATCATCATGAAAAATTCTTGTTGGATTCGTCACGATGGGCTAACTGGCCTGCTTCATCCTCACCTATCATCCTTCACTAGTGCCCCGCCGGTGTATACCGATAGCGCGGGTGGGGTTACCATTACATTATCACCTATTAAAAAAAAAAACACCATGCACATTTATCATTCAAGTAATCGTTTAGTGTGATTTTGTTCAATGAATGTTAATTTGAAATTCATTAAAAGCTAGACCCAAAATATCCTTTGGTGCCTTATTATTTGAGACCCAAATCCATAAAATTGTATATAATACTTACATATTGTTGTCAGACGGGCTGATATTAGAATTATAAGGTGCCGTGACCTGAAATGACATTGAGACAAGAGTCAGAATTGGCTTGACGGGGAAAAGGAGAAGCGGAGAGTTATTAAGAGGGGAAATTTGATTAATCAATCAATATTTACTGCAGTTATCAATAATAATTAATGCTCCTTTCCACTCAGGGTTTGCTGATAGAGAACTCTTACAGAGTTAAGCTCGCCTGTTGTACATCTTTATTTAATATAGACTAACTATACACACACTTTAACTATATATACACAAACATCACATATGTTTGTGTATAATAAAGTATAAAAACCAGAAGGAGACTTTGCGCAAAAGTCGATTGCTTGGGTACCTCTCTCCTATTCGTATTTCAACCGTGAAGCAACTGTGTTTGCATGGCTGTGTTTCGGTTTGAAGGGTGGGATACGCCGTGAATTTACTGGGTACAGAGGAATAACACATGAATCCTCAGGAATGGCAACGCATGGGGGGTATCATGGGCGAAACAGTATACTCTGTTATGTCCATGGTACTGATCATGTCTATAGGCGACGGTTACCACTTTCCATCAGGTGGGCCGTCAGCTTGTTTGCCAGTTGCATAAAAAAAAATTATCACAATAAATTGGCACAGAAACCACTTATAATACCTCGACATAGATTGGCATTGTACGACAAAGACTGTCACTTTATGGCAATTAAAATTTACAATAAATTACCGGCAGAACACAGAGATTTGGCAAACAAACAATTTAATGAGAAACAGTACAAGTAGCTTTGTGCAGAACGCACCTTTTTAGAATATATGTTTAAATTTTATATTTTTTATTTTGTTTTTCGATATCTGACAATGTCATCATTCTGTTATTATATTTTTCTCCACCACTAGCAGCGATCGTCTTATTATTTCAAATATCACCTTTCTCAACTCTTCGTTAAAAAGCTATGAAAAATAAGCATTGTATTTTGTAATGAAGTTTTAATAACTTTATTTGTTTAAATACAGTTTATCAACAATAAATATTTCTAATGTAATAAAACTGTATCTCTGTAAAAAAAAAAAGTTATTCATTTAAAACTTGCCATTAAAACTTTACAAGTGGCTTAATTTTCAGTAAGCTTTTTGACGAGAGATATGCTCTTGAGAAAGGACTGTATATTTTACGAAATAATAAGACGGTCGCTGCTAGTGGTAGAGAAAAATATAATCACTGAATGATGACATTGTCAGATATCGAAAAACAAAATAAAAAATATAAAATTTAAAAATATACTTTAAAAAGGTGCGTTCTGCACAATGCTGCTTGTACTGTTTCTCAATAAATTGTTTGTTTGCCAAATCTGTGTTCTGCCGGTAATTTATGTATATTTTAATTGCCATAAAGTGACAGTCTCTGTCGTACAATGCCAATCTATGTCGAGATATTATAAGTGGTTTCTGTGCCAACTTTATTGTGATAATATTATTTTTTTTTATGCAACTTAGAATGGCAAACAAGCTGACGGCCATCCTGATGGAAAGTGGCAACTCGTCTATAGACATGAGCAGTACCATGGACATAACAGAGTATACTGTTTATATTTTGCCATCCCTAATATTTATTCCTCTGTACCCTTAAATTTACGCCGTATCCCGGTCAAACCGAAACACAGTCATGCAAACACAACTGCTTCACGGTTGAAACACGAATGGGACAGAGGTGACCAAGAGACTTTTGTACAGCCTCCATTCATCAGTTAATGGCTGACACAACAACAACATACATTTAATTTTGTGGAAGAATTACAGTTATTAAAAATCTGATATTGACATAATAATACATATAAATATAGTACATTACTGCAGCGGCCAGCAACTGAGGCATTGATGGACGAACGTGCAAATGTGGGCCGAGGCGCAGCCGAGGCACACATACGTAAGTCCATCAATGCCTAGTTGTGGCCAAGGGTTGTATAGTACTTTTCTCAAACAATGCGCGGAAATCAAAAACACAATTTTACTTTTTAAGTTCAATGACTAATAACGAACAATAATAATTTTTCACGCGCCATAATATTCCTTTGTTTTTTTTTTCAATAAACAGCTTTCTATTTGCAAGCCAGTTCGAAATTTAAATAAAACCTTGTATTAGTTACCTCTTTGGTAGCCATGGTTCGAAGTAAAAGGTCATTCCATTTTTAAATTACAGGACAGATATGAGTTTACATAGTAATTTATCTGGCCGCAAAACACAACAGATATGGATTTTCATACAACTTTTGCCGGCCGCTGCCCGCATGTATCTGGCCAGTACGGCAATTTTGATTATCTCGAAGAAGATTGTCAAAATAATGCTCACATTTCCAAGCATGTTTGAGAAATAAAGATTAATTAATACATAACATTATATATTAAACTTCACACATCACTATGGCATATTAAAAGCCATTTTTAACCAAACTCTAATGGGTAAACTCAAAAACTGAGGGAGGAAAAAATTGTTAGCAATTGGGTCTAACAGCTCCATTGCTACCAATGTATCCTATTAGGACGACTTCCACGCGGTTTCGCCTGGAAACCAACGTGGTTAATTCTCGTGGAATTATTCACGATGGGCTAACTGACCTGCTTTATCCTCACCTATCAGCTCTCACTGGTACTTCCCCAAGGTATACCGATAGCGAGGTTACTATTCTATTCTCATCCTTTAAAATAAAAACTCAAAAACAATTCAAGCGAGTTTAAAAATTGACTATAATATTACTGACCTCGTTGAGTCCTCGACGGAGCTCCTGCAGCGAGGACTTGATCTCGCTGAAACGGTCACTGCCGCCCGCCCTCGCCTCCGTAGCCCCCGCACCAGTCCCTGCAGCCCCTGGCCCGTCCCACGCCCATATACTATTTCCCGGAGACCGCGCATCACTTCCCGGAGACCGCGCACCACTTCCCGGAGACCGCGCATCACTTCCCGGAGCCCATATACTACTTCCCGGAGACCGCGCATCACTCCCCGGTGATCGCGCATCACTCCCCGGTGACCGCGCATCACTCCTCGGAGACCGCGCATCACTCCCCGGAGATCGCGCAATACTTCCTGAAGCCCCCGCACTACTATCCCCAGCCCCTGCATTACTCGACATAACCTCCACTCTACTATCCGCTGGCCCCGCATTACTCTCCGCAGCTTCCGCACTACTACTAGCTGCCCCCGCGTTACTCCCCGCTGCCCCCGCACTATTGTCCGCAGCCCTCGCACTACTACCCGCGGTCGTCGCACCGCCCCGCGTAGTCCTCATATCACTCCCCTGTGACCGCGCACCATTGCCCGCTGTCCACGCACTACTCGTAGCCTCTGCACTATTCCCCGCAGCCCCCGCACCACTTCTCGCAGAGCCCATAACCCACCGCGTTTCATCATCGGACTCGCGGCCCAGATGTAGGTGCTTGAACCTGAGGAATATCACAAATGAGCATGTTTTAATTATGCATAACGTCCCTCTTCGTCTTTGCATGGTTTTAATTAATGATAAAATGTTGATATTATTTAAATTAATATCTCGTTTGACTAAAGACTGATATTGGATGACTCATGTTTTTGACGTTTACTTTCATATGCGCGGGTTTATATAGTTCGTCCTACCCTCCCCCCCCTACTTACACAGAAAGCAGCGAAAACGCAATAATTATACCGGCTTATTGTTTTTATTTCGCATTATCTTCTGATCAACTGCATCTATTAACATGCTGTAAAAAGTAAACTTTATCTCAATGAAATTTTCATTTCCATTTGTTTTCATAAGAATTTGTAAAGTATACCGTGTACAGACATGGTGCTCTGTTTGTGTTCGTGAGGAAACATCTTCAGTAGCGGCCCGGACGGAGGAGTATTATATTCCTTGGTCGAAACCTCGCGAATATTTTTACTCACAAATTTTTAATTCTTTGGGTTTCGGTGGGGCGCGTCATATTATCCTAGACAGTGTATATATGGACAAGTTATATCGTAACATATAAGTTACTTTATATATATATATATATATTAATGCAAACCTGTCGGCGAATTCTTGAGGGCTCATCGGCTTCAGATCAGAGAAATTGGTCCACAAGTCAATACGCGGATCAAGCTCAGGGGTCGTGGTGTCAGGCTGAGGACACGAGTCCTCTGCCGAGGCATGCTCAGAGCTACTGGATCCAGGCTCCGGCCACAAGTCCCCACCTGGTGCATGCTCAGAGTTGCTGGGTCCGGGCTGCGGCCACAATTCCCCAGGTGGTGCATGCTCAGAGTTTCTGGACCTGGGCTGGGGCCGCAATTCTCGAGGTGGTGCATGCTCAGAGCTTCTGGACCTGCGCTGGGGCCACAATTCCCTAGCCGGTGTATGTTCAGATCTATTGGATCCATGCTGGTACCCAGTGGGCACTATCATTCTCGAGCCCGGCCACGCGTGGCCATGCATCCTGTTCATGTAATCCTGATAGTATACATGTCGATTGAGGAAAACTGTTGGAGTGAACACTGGTCGCAATCCTGTAATTGTAATAATATTAATATGAGCTAAACAAAATCGAATACGAAATACTAGATAGACATTCATCTAAGAGGTACTTATAGAGAATGACAGGTAAACGGCTTCTGTACAAACTCTCTCTCTCTCGTTGAGTTGTGAGAAAATTAACTTAATGATACAGTGTTGCCAGATACCACTTTCGTCCTTTATTATATATGTTATGTTTAACTTCCACACACTTCCCAGCCGTTGTCGGCTACTTTTTATTTGTCCCTTTTTCAACAAGTCACCTCGACTTATGTCCGTCTATGGCGGCCCTTACCAACATCTCCACATACGATTTTCAACCACCTGATTGGATCACTAAACAAAATTATACAAGAAATACTAGATGACGCTAACATCGAGACTTGTGGCTGTTGTTGATTATTTTACAATTAAAGGTAATTTGAAGTGAAATTTCTAAATTGGCAAGTGGTTGTTATTATTATATAAAAAATTAAATCGCCGGGTCTTGGCATAGAATGAGCCACCACTTCCTTATAAGTCCACTAAATGTGTGTATGTGTGTATATCCCTTTCAAACCTGAACGATACGGGCGTGAGTTGTAACTTTAGAAAATTCTAAAACCGCGCCCAATTCATTTTTACGCACGAAGCTGAAATAACATGATAGTGAGATTCTAAACCAGCCAATAAGATATCATTTTAGCGGTTAGGTGGTGCAGTAGTCTCGTGCGTGCCGGCAAGATGGCTTGGTTCCAAAACACGAAAATATATCTAACCTGAAAAAAAAAATCTTGGGTCTGAAAGGGATATACATATTATACACACTTTAGACAAATAAAAATATGTATATTTTAAATACACAATTTGAATTTTCGACGTGGATTGCATCAAGTCACGGTCACGATGACTGACTGAAACGCCAGCAATAAAGAAGCAGGTTTTAGGTACAATTGACCTGTGTTCTTAGCTTTTAGAAAACAACCTTTTCTCAATTGGTCAATGTGTTATTTTGGGTTGTGCCCAAAATGTTTGTTGCCTAATTCCTCGTAACACAGAGTATCCTAGCTTGTGAACCAGTCGATAGGTGTGGTTGTGTGGCACTCTATTATATTCATTCATTCCTTTATTCAAAGCAATTCATTCGTTCGCCCACAGTACCTATGGCGGCGTAGTGTGCAGACTGTAACATCCGCTGGTGCTGCTCGAGCTGGTGCCGCTGCAGCGGGCTGCAGCACACCAGGTGGCGCACAGGAACCGGTGGGGGTGGCATCGGCGCCATACGCTTCTTGATCGCGCCGCGAGACATCGGCCTGAGCATGTGTGTATATCATCAGCATTGGCCCCACTTATATCAGACCGGACACCAGTGAAAGATGATAGGATAAAAGGAGAGGATCTACCATGAAATGTTTTCCAAAATTTCGGGGTTTCTTTGGACTTTTATAGTAGGATTATCATACGAACGGACAAGAAAGGTAGGGCACAGTGGGACTCTCGCTCATAAGTGTAATCACCCGCCTGGGCAGATCTCCACCTTGCAGAAGTTTGCAGCCAAATAATGCTGTTTTAATACCGTTGTGTTCCTGCGGCGAGTAAGGTTTCCATTTCCATCTCGGGGAGGGGTTGTGCCGATATTAGAGGGGCCGGCGTGTTTTTAATACTGTCTTCATGTTATGCAGGCGTGAAGTACCGAAGTAAGCAAAGTAAGCTTTCAGGGAGACCCGGTGATACGGTTGCTCGTTGGCCGCCTGCAGGTTGTTGAGTTCCCGAACACAGGGATTATTCAATCTTCGCCCTGGGAGGCTGATCCGCCGCCAGTGCATAATCCATGGTGTAGTAGTTGTGCCGGAGGAGGAGACCAAAGAGGACCCGGCTACTACATCATTGGGGGGATCGAGGGTCCTTCTGGCCGCCGTGCCGATAACTTGCACAACCTGTTTAGCGCGGGGACGGAGTAGACACCACTTTGTTCCTTTGTTATTGACACAATCTTTCCCTATTAACCTCCAAACACCCTTTCATTTTATGGCCAGATCTCGAAAAAAATAGACGATACACAGCAGCACCTTCATCCACATTTAAAGTGGACTTCTGCAATATCAGAGGGCTCATTCTAATATCAACACAATTCACCACCATCTTGAAACTCTGTTATTCCTCATTGAGACACAGATCTCGTGTCCGGCTGATATATCATATTTACTATACCCCGCTTACAAACTCGAGCATAAATTTGCTCGTCATGCCGAGGTTTGTATGTATATTCGGACCGACATTTGTTATCGCTGTCTCCATGGCCTTGAAGACAGGGACCTGTCGGTATTACGGATACGTGTGGGTTACGAAAGCCACGTTTAATAAAGCGAAGCATTACTTTACGCCGGATCAACGATTGATGCTCTACAAATGGCAAATCCGGCTCCACATGGAGTATTGTTATCACTAATGGGCGGAAACACCTAGATACACGCTCGAACCCTTCGACTCAGTGCAAAGACAAGTTTTGAAAATTGTTTATGATCCCAGGTTTGCAAGCGGTATCGATCCCTTAAGTCATAAGAGATTTTGCCTCATTCTGCGTGTTCTACCGCATGTACAACGGATTGTGCTCAGAGGAATTGTTCAATATAATGCCCACGGCCACTTTCTAACGTCGTACGGCTCGACGTCTACAGAAAGAGCATCCTAATATCCTACAGCCTAGATGGTCGCGTACAATGCGGTTTCAAAGATGTTTTCTCCCACGAACACTCAGGTTATGGAATGAGCTCCCTGCCGAGGTTTTTCCAAGAGACTACAGCATGGGTTCTTCAAAAGGGGGGTAAAGAGGTTTCTTCAGGATCAGCAACGCGCGTGTAATACCCCTGGTACTGCAGGTGTTTATTCGCTACAGTAACCGATTACCATCAGGTGGGTGGTATGTTTGTTTGTCACCTCAGTGGTATAAAAAAAAATATTAAGCTCCAATTACGGGGCCGATTTCGGTATGAACAAAAACACGAAATTTCATTTCATGGTAAACCCCCATGTTAGTTGACCTTTTGTGACTGGGTGGAAGGGATTGTTAGTAATGGGGAGGTTAATCCCCATTGCTATCAATATACCCTATCAGGTCAACCTTCTCGCGGTTCCCCTTGGAAACTATTGTTACTAATCTATTATTGAATTCGTCACGATGGGCTAACTGACCTGGTTTTTCATCTTTACTCATCCTTTTTCATCCACATTGGTGCCCATCAGTGTATACCGATAGCACAGGCGGGGTTACCATTCCATTATCGTCCAATAAAAAAAAAACCCATTGTGACGAATTTAACAAGATATTTTTGAATTCGTCACAATGGCAAATTCAAAAAATTCTTGTTGATCGCGAGTTTTTAGGGAGATTCGTTTGGAGGTCAACCTGATAGAGTGTATTACTAGCAGAAACAGCATGCTCTTTATCTGAAAGATATTTCGTTATCAATACTTACAAATCCTTATGAACTTTATCCAGGTTGGCCACAGTAGTGTTGATTTGTGGCTGGTCGTTGGTTCTCTTCGGCGGCGCCTTCTGCACTTCACGAGCACCAGACGCGCCAGCTACAGCGCCATCTCTTGAACTACCTGGAGCTTCGAGTGGACTCGCGTCGTTTAGACACCTGAAGATACGAGGTAGTAAGAATTTTTGGTAAAGTAATAAAATAATAAAAATCATGTAATCCCATTAGATGGAAGCAAGAGATTTTTTATGAAATGACAACGAATTGGTAACGCCATAACGTATCATCATATCAGCCTTTAACTGTCCACTACTGAACATAAGCCTCTCCCTTGGGGGATTTTGCCAGTGATTGCCACACTTGGCAGGCGGATTGACAACCGCAGTTAGACTTTGGAGATGTTTTTAAAGGGATGCTGCTTGCTGCTCATCCCTCACGTTACCTATATCCTACACGTTAAAATTATATAATACATATCGTTTAATAATATTAAAATATCGGGTCCGATAGTCGCGAATTTAACAACCCCCCCCCCCCCAATTTCGAAGATTAGCGTGAGAAAAAATTGTGGAAAAAAAATATATATATTAAAAATTAACGGACTCGGCCAATTCTATTCTGCCATTAGGTCCATTTTAAATATTGGAGTAAACATTTACAAAATTTCAATACAATCGGTTAAGCGACTTTAGAGATTAGCAAAAAACTGAGATGATCCGGCGTGAAACGTCCAAAGATACTATAAGTCATCTACGACTATTGAAGTTAATGTATTAAAAAATATTTACCTTATTTCGGTTCTCGGTCTATTTGGATATGTGATCTTCGGTTTATTCTTGGAGCTATTGTCTTTTGTGACGTTGCTCTTACGTGGTAACGACTGGCGGGATGGTGTTGGTACATTTGTAGGCTTTGGTGATTCTTTCTTGGGCTGCACGACAGGATCTGAAAAGTAAAATTTAAAATTAGAGTAAACATTTGATTTTTTTTTTTTGATAAATCGTAATTTTAATAAGCTCTTAAAACTATAAAGTGGCATAGATATAAAAAAGATACAATGCGATCTAACGGCACAGTTTTAATACTGTCTTATATGATATATGGGAAAATAATTTATCTAAGGACCACAGTACCTATTATTCTTAATCAAGCGTATTGTGTAGGCATAAAGCTAAACGCTTTAATTTTAATTTACCGAACAATATATTAATCGAATGATAATTTTAAAATATACATTTTGACTGTTAGCAGTCCTCTGAGAACCTAAAAATAAAAAGTAAAAATTATCAAATTTGTTTTACTCATAATTCCCGCCAAATTTTTAGGAGCTAATCACAGATACCTATAGAGCCTATATTGTGATTTGATATCAGTACCTATTTTTCATAGATTAAGAATAACATTTTCTGTCTACCCTATCTTGTGTTAAACAGAAAAGGCACAAAAATATTTTTTTTAACTAGTTATTTTTCAAATTCTATTATGCAGTTTCCTATATAGCATAATAGTTCATTTCTGACTATTAAAATTTGTTTATACGATTATTCTTGTAACATTCAGATATATAAAATGAAAAAAATATATCGAGAAATGCAAACAAAATACTATACCAAGTCAAGCCAAACAATCATCGCGATGACAGCTTTTTAGAAAAAGAGGGGCATACTCATACACTACTGAGCATTTCTGATGGTTATATTATATGGTTATATAACGGAGAATCCCCCTGTCAAGTGTAGCAACTTCTGGCAAAACCCCTCTTTATGGAAGAGGCCCATGTTCAATAGTAGACAGTTAATGACTGATATAATGATGATGATAATACGGTGAACTAGAAGCATTATATTTGAGCAATACCAATAATGAAAAAGTCCAACGTAACTAGATGTAAATTGTACCAGGCGACCTCACTCACACATATAGTCTGCTAGACCATTCGGCCGATGTGGGGTGAATACGCGAACAAGGGCAATGCAAAAAAAAAACGACGAAACGCAAAAGTAACCACTTACTAAATATAATATATAAAAAAATAACTAGTAGTTATTATGTTATAACCAGTTATTCGGTTACAGGCCCAGTAGCCAGTTTCTGTAACTAGCTATGTTATTTAACGCCTCCCTAACTTGTATATAGAAAAGTACTCTGTGGTGTTTTCTTTACACAGTATCTAGTCTGTGGTCCGATTAAATGCCATCAAACTTGTATTTGTTTGTATACTTATAATCGATAAATTATCGCAGAATCAATTATCTCAATTATTTATGTCAATAAATTGTTTAAAATGGCTTCAAAAAAGAAAACTGTTACAGTGAAAATTGAACTAGAGCCGCAACAAGAAACCGCACCACGAAAAAAGCTTGTAAGCTTAATATTCTTAGAGAAAACAATATCTACTTATTAAAAAATATTTCATGAATTTTAATATTTGTCATTTTTTTATTCTACGATACTTTTTGCTACCACAAAAAAAGAAACTTCGTTGTAACGTCCACGATTTTTATTATGCACAGTAATCTATTTCTCAAATTAAAAACCTCTTTTATAATATTTATCTCTGGAATAAAAAAATATTCAGATAAAATAACGAATTCATTATCAGTTAGTTTTACATATTAATTAAATTATGTTCCACAAAAAAAATTTACTTCACTTGTGGCAAACCAATTATTTTGCCATAAAAAGTAAACTATTAAATCGATGTTTATAAAATTTCTATGGAACTAATCCATAATTATATCCTTTCAGATAAAACAGAATTTTCAAAGTCTGTTTACAATTAACAGAGATGAGGTAAAAAAAAGTACAACTAAACTGAGAGTCCTTCTGTTTGAAGTTGGATGAAAATTAAATGCCAGTGTTAGCTAACAAGGGAGCGACAACTGTCCTAAATAAATTAATACTTTTCTTTTTATACTGCTTACAAACAATATTGTATTAAATTGAATGATACTTTAAAATCTATATATATCTGAATGTGACAGAAAGTGATCTCTGACTACCCCTCATCTAATGGTATCTGTTATTTATTTATTTATGTAGAATATAATATCAAGTGGAGGCAAATATAATGGACACATACAATGCAGTTTATTTATATATATATATATATATATATATATATACGAGGTTTGTCCGGAAAGTACGTATAAAAGTTTTTTAAAAATTTTATTTTACAATTATTCAGGTAAATCAATTTTATCCCCTTCAAAGTACTCCCCCTGTGACATAATGCACTTGTGCCAACGCCGTTTCCACTGTGAGAAGGCTCCTTGAAAGTCCTCTGGTTGTAGGTTTCTCAGCTGCCCCGTCGTAGCTTTTTTTATCTCATTTATGTCCCCCAAATGCCGCCCCCGAAGTACCAATTTGGTTTTGGGAACAAGAAGAAGTCACACGGGGCCAAATCCGGCGAATAGGGGGGTGTTCGGTCACCGTAATGGAATTTTTACTCAAAAACTCACGGACAACAAGAGAGGTGTGGGCAGGGGCATTGTCGTGGTGAAGAATCCAACGCCCCTCTCGCGCCAATTCTGGACGAACTCGTGCCACACGAGCTTTGAGGCGTCTGAGCACATCGACGTAGAATTTTCCATCAACTGTCTGGCCTGGAGGGACGAATTCTTGATGGACAATCCCCCGAACATCGAAAAAAACAATCAACATTGTCTTGACATTTGAGCGGGATTTTCTTGATTTTTTTGTTCGTGGTTCCCCGGATGTCTTATCGAATTAGATCGGCAAAAATTTCACGGCCATTCTTGCCGAGTTTCGAGAGAAACTTGATTACGACGCGCTGCTCTTCAACGGAAGCGGGCTCCATGCCGACGGGGTTTCGTTAAGAGGTAACTTCACAGATGGCGTGACAAGCCAGTTCGCACCGCACGGCGGTCAGACCAGAACTGAAGCATTGTTAGGGACATAAGGAAGGGGTCCTGCGCTTACCTGGCCTCCCCACTCCTCTTTCACAGAACACTTTTATACGAACTTTCCGGACAGACCTCGTATATATATATATATATATATATATATATATATATATATATATATATATATATATATATATATATATATATATATATATATATATATATATATTTTTATATTGAAAATTTTTAATGAAAAGTTTCGTGACTGACTTTTGGCCACAGCAGAATATCAGTGTTTTGCTCTTTTAAGGGCAAAGCAATAAACTGAGCTGTGACCATTTTGTGTTACTATGGCACACGCATGAAGAAATGGTAACAAAGGAGATTGTTAGATTATGTATTTTGTTTTTGTATTATTTTTTTTATTTGTGCTTTTTTGTTTTTATTCTTTTGTCTCTTTTGCTGTGTATTACGTGTATGTTTTTTTTTTTATTGTAATTTGTGTGCTGTAAGTAATGTAAATAAATTGTCTATCTATCTAAATCTATAATAGCTAACCCATGAAAAATGTTGCACACTACATGGTGGGCAAAACATTCCTGTAGGAATGAGATCCTTTATCACAAGTTGACACAAAAAAATACATATAAACATAATTTTATTAAAATCAATTGAGCTTCCAAAAATTAGTATGGATGAACACTGTGACACGGAATCTTTATATATTAAGATTTGTCTTTCAGAAAACACATAGACACTTAATTCATATAATATATATATATATATATATATATATATATATATATATATATATATATATATATATATATATATATATATATATATATATATATATCAAATAATTTATTTACTTCTTGGTTATATTCGGTTATTTTTTACTTTATGTTTGTCACCTCATAACTCCATCAGATGTAAACCAAAAATGGAAAATTCTTTTTTATCTAAATAAATATACTTACAGATTAATGCCATAGAAATTTTATCAAAATCAGTTTAGTAGTTCAGTTTTAAGAATTAAAATAACTGGGTTTTTTTTTTAATTGAAGTTAATTTTAATTATGATTTATATTTTTATTTTAATTTATTTATATTTTATCTTTAATTATTTACAAATTCAAAATTCTTTTTGTATCTGAAAGGCTATACTTGCAAATTGGTCCAATAGAAATTTTATCTAAATTGATTTAGGTGTTTTTAGAATTTGTGGGGCAATCTTTTATTATTTACAAGTACATTATGGATATGATAGGGCTGATATACCTGAAGAAGGTAAAAGCCCTTAAAATAATAATAAAAAAAAAAGTTCATTATTCCACATTCTAACATAAGGGCATGGGGGGAAAGGGATTGTTAGCAATGGAGTTTGACAGCCCCGTTGCTAGCAACATGCCCTATTAGGTCGACCTCCACGTGGTTCCCCCTGGAAACCATAGTGAACACTTCTTGTTGAGTTTGTCACAATGGGCTAACTGACCTACTTCATCCTCACCTATCATCCTTCACTGATGCCCTGCCGGTGTATACCGATAGTGTAAGTGGTGTTACCATTCCATTATCACCCATTAAAAAAATATGTGTGTGTGTGTGCAAATAAATAATTAATAAAATTTTGTAAATACATTTTCAGAGACATCTTAGTGTGCATGAAAAGACCATGGCTATAAATTTATACAAATATGTGGAAGAATCTTGGCCAGTAGACAAATTTCCATACAAGTCCGACATAATGGAGAAAACAGCGAGTCTGTGTGATATAAATAAGAACACTATGGCCAGACTGTTGGCTGACTATAGAAAATTTGGTCATTTCAAAGACAACCACCATTATAAGAGAAATACAAAGATATACAATAAACTGTCCAACTTTGACAAGTCAATGATAAAAAAGAAAATTTATAATTATTACTTGAACGGCAAATTGCCGCGAACTTCCTCGGTTTTCGACGAGGTGAATTCAGATAAATCACTGCCAGACTTCACGCGATCGACATTTTATCGCGTGTTGAAGGAAATGGGGTATAAATTTATCAGGAGACAAGGAGAGACTGTTGTCACAGACAGGGATAAAATTATAATTATGCGTAGGAATTATCTGAACAAGATCCGAAAGCACAAAGCACAAAACCATCCCATATACTATATAGATGAAACATGGATACCGGGTGCCTCAGGTTTGTCATGTCAGAATTAATACTTCAGTCCCTGGTAGCAGAACGTTGTTAGTTGCCACTGTGGCAGGTCAGGTTTCTTTTTTTTTTATGGGTCTTTTTTATACAACTTAGAATGGCAAACAAGCTGACGGCCCACCTGATGGAAAGTGGTAACCGTCGCCTATAGACATGAGCAGTACCATGGACATAACAGTACACACACATACTGTTTCGCCCATGATACCCCCCATGCGTTGCCATTCCTGAGGACTCGGGTGTTATTCCTCTGTACCCAGTAAAATCACGCAAATTCTTATGGGTGATAATGGAATGGTAACCCCACCCGCGCTGTCGGTATACACCAGCGGGGCACCAGTGAAGAATGATAGGTGAGGATAAAGCAGGTCAGTTAGCCCATCGTGACGAATTCAAAAAGAATTGTTCACGATGATTTCCAGAGGGAACCTCGTGGAGATCGACCTAATATTGGTAGCAATGGGGCTGTCCAACTCAATTGCTAACAATCCCTTTCTCCCCAGCAGGTTCAGGGCAGGAATTATGTGGAGTACCCACATGATTCCTCCTGAAAACTATCGTGGTGAATTCCCAGAGATTTTTTTCCAACACAGGGGGCAAACGAGCATGCGGCTCACCTGATGGTAAGTGACTACCACCGCCCATGATCACCCACGACACCAGCGGCATTGCAGGTGTGCTGCTGGCCTTTTAAAAAGGAATATGCTCTTTTCCTGAAGGTTATGATGTCGTATCGGTTCGGAAATATAGAAGTTACTAGAAGTTCTGTGTACATATATAATATTTATAATCTGTACCATTTTTTGAAGGTAACAATAAAACAAGAGTTTTTATTCATTTATTTATGAACATTTTTTGTAAATTTAATTCTTATTTTAAATACCTTACGTGTGAAATAGATGAACAATTAATAAAATATATACTTTATTTGTTTTAGGACGATCAACAGTTACGTCAAAACAAACGACAACAATTCTTGATGAACCAAAGAGAATAATCATAATGCACACAGATGTTGGTGGGGTCATAGACAATAGTATATACTGCTTTAACTCAAAAATCAAAGTACTTGATACTCGCGAGACTGCTGATGCTGAGAACTTTGAAAAGTGGTTCGAGGATTTACTGCCCAAGTTGCTGAAGAATTCTGTGGTGGTGATGAGTAATGCATCGCATCATTGCAGGCTTCACGAGAGAACACCCAACATATTGTGGACGAAAGAAAATATTACAGATTGGATGAGAAAAAAGGATGTGCCATTCGAAGAGAGTGACTTGAAATGCGAATTACTGATTAAAGCCAAAGAAGCTATAAAAAAATACGAAGCATACGCACTAGACGTGATGGCTGCCAAACACAATATCGAAGTGTTGAGACTACCAGAGTTCCACAGCGAACTGAGCCCAATCGAGATAGTTTTCAAGGGAATAAAAGCGAAAATACCGCAAACTGACGATTTTAGGGAAACATATAAATATTTCGACGAGAGCCTCGCCTCGATCACGACGGAACAGTGGAGGAGTGCAGCGGAGCGTGTCAAAGAAGAAGAGGAGACACTGTATAAACTGGACACGCTCATGGATCAAACGATAGACAATTTATTTTTTAATATTAAAGATATAGGTGCTTACTCCGACACCGACACTGATTCTACGATGTCTTGTTCGGATGCTATCAATTCAACGGACTTCATGATTAAAGAAGAAAGAGAGGTTGATTAATAACTTTTTTCAAGTTGTCTCGTTATATTTTTATGTAAGGCTCGTATTTCTCGATGTGTTGTTTTAAATGTTGTTAATATATATATATATATATATATGAGAGAGAGAGAGCAAAAGTCAAAAACATGTCATATATATATATATATATATATATATATATATATATATATATATATATATATATATATATATATATATATATATATATATATATATATATATATATATATATATATATATATATATATATATATATATATATATATATATATATATATATATTTAAAAAAATTTAAAAAAAGTGGATGAATATTAATATATTCTTGTTTCAAATTATGTTATTTTTTTTAGTAACTTTCAAAGAAAGAAAATACTTAATTAGTTTCTAATCTCTAATGATATTTATATTTTGAGTCCAACTTAAAAAAAAAAAAAGGAAATTCTCAATTTTATTGTATTTTATTTTTATGTCTGTTACCTCATAACTCTGTTAGTTGTAAACCAATTCGGGTAATCCTATTGCTAGCAATACAGGGTGTATAAAGGGTAACTAAAAATGCGTGAATTTACTGGGTACAGAGGAATAACACTCGAGTCCTCTGGAATGGCAACGCATGGGGGGTATCATGGGGGAAACAGTATACTCTGTTATGTCCATGGCACTGCTCATGTCTATAGGCGACGGTTGCCACTTTCCATCAGGTGTGCCGTCAGCTTGTTTGCCATTCTAAGTTGTATAAAAAAAAAGATCTAATACGTCGAGTATTCGATTTTTTTTTATGAAAGATAATGAAATGGTTACTTGGTCTGCGCTATCGGTATACGCTGGCGAGGCTCCAGTGAAGGATGATAGGTGATGATGATCAGCAGGTCAATTGGAAATATCAAAAATTAACCACCATTCTTTCTAGGGGGAACCACGTGGAGGTCGACTTGCTAGGGTATATTGCTGGTAACGGGGCGGTTAGATCCTCATTCCCAACAAACCCTTATTTCCTCAATATATGATGTCAGGTCGACCTCCATGCGGCCCCTCTAGGAACTAACGTAATTAATTTTTGTAGAATCCGTCACAATGGGCTAAATGACCTGGTTTCATCCTCATCTATCACTAATTACTGGTGCCCCGCCAGCACAGACGGGGTTACCATTCTATTATCATCCATTATTCTCCTCCGGCGTCAAGAATTTCTATTCTGCCTTGAAAACGAAGAGCTCTGACGTAGCGCCCTAACTCATCATTCAACAAAAGCGTGGAGTCAATGCTATATTGGTACTTACCATCATCAAGCCGTAAGAACCCATGGTTGGAGTCCAGGTGGAGCTGTCTGTACTTGATCATCACCCATTCCTTGCAGTCTGGACACTGCTCTGTGCGGACGCCGCAGTAGTTCTCATGAGCAGGCAGCTCGTGGCGTGGCAACTCCAGTTCGCAGAACCTGGGAATGGTATTTTTTATAACGACGTTCTGAGCCAACACAAGGACATATGGTCTTTACCTATTATCCCTTACTGGTGCCCCCCCAGCATATCCCGATAGCATAGGCATCTCCTACGCTTACCATTCCATTTTCATACATTAAAAAAAAATATGGTCAATTTTTTTTATACCACTGAGTTGGCAAACAAGCATACGGCCTACCTGATGGTAAGCGGTCACCGTAGCCTATAAACATCTGCAATACCAGAGGTATTACGCGTGCGTTGCCGACCCTGAAGAAACCTCTTTACCCCCCTTTTGAAGAACCACACGCTGTAGTCTCTTGGGAAAACCTCGGCACTCTTGATATTACCCGTGTTACTTGCTATTAATGTAACTTTCTAAAGGTCAAATTATTTTTGAAATCTGTTAAGTAGTTTTTGAGTTAATCTATTAAAAACAAACAATCAAATCTTGTCTATTTGTAATATTAGTATAAAGTAGATAGCTGTGCAGTCCTCTTTTTTTTTAATTTCTTAAAGATCTGCTTAGTTTGAGTTTGAGTCTAGATGACGCTATATATATATATATATATATATATATATATATATATATATATATATATATATATATATATATATATATATATATATATATATATATATATGTATATATATATATATATATCCAGTGTTGTTTATTATTAAAATTTATTATTAATTTTGGATATATAATGTGTAAAAACATACCTGCATGACTTAATGGTGTGTCCACAGGAGTCCCTGATGTGATCCTCGAGATCTGTCCCGCAGACACTTTCCCCACACTGTTTGCAAGGCACTGTTCAATTAACTTAGCATTAGTATCATTCACATACTGCCAATCATGTGAAGGGGAGAGTAAAAGGATTCAGATCATTGCCGTCAGACTGACCTCCCCGTGATTCCCCCTGGAAACCACCGTGGTGCCCTATAATTATGATGAGCTAAATGACCTGCTTTCATCCTCCCCTATCAGCCCATACTGTTGCTACGCTGGCGTATGCCGACAGTACGGGCGGGATTACCATTCCATTATCATACATTAAAATTTAATGATAAAAGGAGTGCCTTCTGGTGCCAAGAGTTTCCAGCCCGCCCTCATCATACATGAAGGCCTCTGACCTGGCCTATAGGACGCTATACGTGCCCTCTGAGGCATGAAGTGAATGACACGATCCAAAAACGAAATTTGCTAAAGTCAAAAGTTTAAACAGTGATCAGATTTTAGACTTTCAGAATGTAGTCAATCGTTGATCAACCGACTGACTAGTAGCGGGACAAGCCCTAAATCGAATGTGGGCAAGATACACATTGTGCGAGGTCGTTTAGTAATACAAAAAGACTATATAAAAACGGAAGTGTCGTCCCCTCATCACATCAGCCAATATCTGTCCACTGGTGACCATAGGCCTCCCCCATAGACTGCCGTAAGAGGACGTCACTAAAAAACCTTTCTTGCCCATCGGTTCTCGATTGTTAAAGCTATGCGACGAGTCCGTTGCCACTTCGGCTTGCTTATCCTTCTGGCTATGTCGGTTCCTTTAGTTCCTTAAAAACTCACGAGCATAGCCCTCTCCATAGCTCGTTGGTAACTTAAAGCCTTTTACGCCACCAACATTTTATTTAAACATACGAAAGTATGTTATGAAAAAACAAAAAATATGCGGAACGAGAGGCCCTTCAACCCATGTCACCCATCCCTTTTGCCCCCTCTAGCTATTACTACTCTTTGCATTTGTATTTAGAGGTTGTAAAATATAGATTTAAAAAAACCCAGAACACAAAATCAGACTCGACTGGTACAACGTTATTGGTTTACATTTCTACCCTCTGTTACGCTTATTTTTTTTATGACGCTAAACTGTTACCATAGCCTATGGACGCCTGCTTGCTATTGATAAATAGCAAATTAACGAAAAATTTCAAGCGAATTCATCATGGAATCGACATTGCTAGCAATTCCTTGAGATACAGTGAGATAGTAACATCGGATGTCTCATTCCAACTCATGGACTCGCTAGCAATGTGGATTCCATCGACGAATTCGCTTGCCACTTGTTTAAAGAGCCTGATCTCTGGCAATACTAAGGGTATTTATTTATTTATTAAACTTTACTACACCTAGAACGTGTAAATTGTGGACTTAATACCATATGGCGTTATCTACCAGTCTACCATAGACAGAAAATATTATAGATCACGTTATCACGCGCATTGCTGATACTGATGAAACCTTAATACAGCCTTTTTTAAGCCTCATACTGTAGTTCATATAGGTTGTATGGTACTCACACAGCTTATGGTATCTGTCATGGTGTTCCTGCAGCTCCTGGTGGGGCACAGGCTCCTTGCACACCGGGCACACGCGGAGGTTTCGCGCGCAGTGCACTGAGTGGATAGTGAAGTTAACCGCAGGAATCTCACGCTTGCTGTCAGTGAAAGGGACCTTTTTTTATAAATTATCTTACTAGTATATTAAAATCTTAACTAGACAATGTCAAAACACAAGGGAGATTTTAAAAAAAAATTAATAGGAAGGAGAAATTTTATTGGTCTGTATCACATGGGGGAAACAGTATACTCTGTTATGTCCATGGTACTGCTCATATGGTCTATAGGCGACGGTTACACCACTGTCCATCAGGTGTACCGTCAGCTTGTTTGTCATTCTAAGTTGTATAAAAAAAAGAAAGTTTGTTTCTGCAACACAAAAACTTGTGTTTGTTCGGGTGTTACATGATTCTGTATTTATCTGTACAAACGGACAAAATTTCTAAAAATTATTGTTATATCTTCTATAACTCTTATTAAGATCTCTCATATCAATTTTTGTCTAATATCTCCCATGCATAAACATGCATAGATTTTATACTTATAAAATCTATGCGTATACATACATACTTACTTAAAAATACATAAAGTATTTATGCAGAAAGCTAGTTATACAGGTAGTAATTTATGTTTATAGTCATAGATAGCAATATAACATTTAAATAGTTACCTACCTTATTCAACTGTTACTAAATGGGGGGAGGGGGAAGAGATTGTTAGTAATGATGAGTAGCAATCCTATCACTAGCAATATACCCTCTCAGGTCGACCTCGTCGTGATTACTCCTGGAAACCATTGATTGATCAAAATCCATCGTGATAAAGTCACCAGTGATGGTGACCTTATCACGATGGGCTAACTGACCTGCTTCATCTTCACTTATCAATTTTTGTCAAATATCTCCCATGCATAGATATCGTCTAGATTTTGTTTATGCAACTTAGAATGGCAAACAAGCTGATTGCCCACCTGATGGAAAATGATAACTGCCTATAAAAATGAGTAGTACCATGGACAATACAATGGTAGTTACAATTTTATCATATTAGTAATAAAATGTAAGATAAGTAGCAAATTTCATTCCAATCTACTTAGCAATGTAAACTTAAGAGCAGACATAAGGTATGTCTAAAGAAATTTATTTAAATGTCAAATTTCAAAATTAAATAAAAAGTTTTATAAATTTACTATATTAATATTGCAAACAATGCATAAGAAAGTCTAAAAAGTTCAAAGTTCTGTGAAAAAGTAAATTTATTTATTAATTTATACTTTATTATACACAAAAATTATTTTATTATAATTTATTTTGAGTGAAGAATTTTTTATAATCTTTCTCCTTTGATAATAGATAAACTTATACTAGATTAAAAAGTATTATAATCATAGATAACATAATACTTAGATAAGTGTTGAAAATAAATTCAGAGAAACAATTTGTTTTTCAGGTAATTTTATTTTAGTTTAGATTCTAATGATTATGATGAGTATATGGGTAGTTTAATAATTTATAAAATTAAAAATGGTATTACTTTTTCAAAATATATACAAAATGTATTTAAACATATACAATATTATTTTTTCCCCTACTATTCACTTTTTTTTAATTTAAAAAATTTCCAAAAAAAAAAGTAATGATACCCTCTGTCGAGAGTTTAGAAAGTTCCGCACAAACATGTAAACAGCCAAGCCGACCATCGACCTAAAACAGCTGTTCTGTTTGCAATGCTCCGAATATCAAAATCTAAAAATAAATCTTGCTAACTCGCCTGTTTATTAATAGTATAAATATTGACACAACATAGCCAACGAGGCAGAAATAAATACTCACCAATTTTCACATATCTTTGCCTCCGATTCTTCCATTTTTACAAATCCTTTGGCGCAAAGTTTAGTTTAAGTGCAAATATTTTAAATTTTACGAAATTATTTAACCTAAGAAATACTTTTTTTTAACACACTCTTTCATACATAAACGTTATATAACAGTATAATGAAAACCGTAACTATTAATTTCTAATCTGAAATTTATTACCCTCTTCAGTAAATAATAATCAAAAAAAAAAAATTGAAAAATTATCGGTGAATCCCATAAATATATTTTTTTTTCTCGATGATATAGTGATGTGCTAGGTACGTTTTATGCAAAGCGTTTAATAACACTAAATATAGTCGTTACTATATAACTGTTACTTTTTAGCTCAATAAACGGTCAAGTAGCGTAATAAGTTTAAAACGCCCGAATGTTTTACTGAAAAAGAGAAAATTGCTCCACTTTACTCTGTCTTTTTAGCAAATCAGTTTTCATTTCTTAACTTAGATGATTATAAGAATAAAAATATTTTTATCCAAATAAACTTAATTTGAGCATTTTTTATATAGTCATTTTTAAAGATGCATCCTCTCATTCGGAATACTATTTGAACCACAAATATAATACCTACCAAGATACATGGAGTCAATATTTTATTGACCTACAGTACGAGGAAAGGGATTTTTTAAAAACAGGGTCGAACGGACTTATTTCTAGTAATATGCCATAACAGATGATCTCCACATAATCCCCCAAGAAAATATTGAATTAATTCCTGGAATTCGTCACGTTGGGCCAACTGATCTGCTTCATCCTCACCTATAATCCCTAAATATTATCCTGCTAGCGTATGTTGATAGGTAGAGTTACCATTTCATTTTCACTATAGATTTAGTATACGTACTTACGTATTTTCATCCATTAACTATTAAAAGATGAATCAATCTGCAGTATAACTATAATCGTGACGTTATATATATTCTTTATTGCACTTGAACAATACATATAGCGATTAGTTAAACAACTTGTTAGCAAGGGAGGGCTTATCTCTGAAAGAGATCTCTTTCAGCCAACCCAGTGTAGTTAGAGAGAAAATAATTAATTGGCGGGTAATCTAGTGCAGGAAAGATACCGGTAAAAATAATGTAAATGCAACAAACATACACAAATTGTGAATAAATAAATAAATAAAACGAATAAATACGTAAATAAGTAAATAGATAAATATATATACTGAACGGTGTGGACTGCCGTTCGGTGAGCGTGGACTGTAGGGGCGTTGGTTCAGGCTGGAGTGAAACACAGGGATTACTATTCTGAAGCCTCCGGTACCGTCTGAAGAGAGTATTTTTTCTTCTTGTCCTATTTCTTCTCGAGTGTAGTGAGTCGCTGCCCGGAAGCGAATGACGATCGACGAGAGGCGGCCTATCTTTATACCCGCCCGCTCGCACGATAACATTTCCAACTCGCGTTAGCGATCTGTGCGAGCGGGACGGGGCGAGAATGAACGAGACGCGTGTCTCTTCAGATCGGTACTCTATAGCGTCTATTTATTGCAATTTACAATTTCTCAATTCTATTTATTGTTACAAGTTACAATTTCTATTCGTAGGTAATAATGACAACACACAAAGAAATACTTTATTTAACTTACACTATCTTAAATCTATGCAAATCTATATAAAATAACAGAATACAAAACGATTAACTAGGACTTAACAACTATAAATTACGATATATACAAATAATGTCGCGAACATTCCCGCCGCAGCTCTCGTAGCTGGAGTTAACTCGTGTTCGCGTCGCTCGATGTCGATGTGGGCAGTATGATCAGCTTCTTAGTGGGTCGCCGTAGGATGCCCTTGTTCGTCCGCACGTCGACCGCTCGAACCTCGCCGTCTGGTCCAGGGTAGGTCGCCACCACCACGCCTCGCGGCCACGTGTTGCGAGGCAAGGTCCCATCAGCTATCAGGACCAGGTCGTCCATTTTGATGGCTCCGTGTGTAGCTCGGGGCTCCCGCCGGTGTTGCAACTCGGGTAGGTACTCCTTCATCAGCTAGCCTCTGGCTGGCACGCCACTAAAGCTGCCTGGCAGTGGGACGCGCGACGGACCGCCCAATAAAGTGATTGGGGGTTATGTCGTCGTCTGCCGATGTTGACACGTGGGTTAGCGGTCGACTATTGAGGGTGTGCTCGACCTCGACCAGCAGAGTGTAATTTTCCTTGGGCGCCCGCTCGTTCAACGTAGCGGCTGTTCTTCACGCTACGCACCAACCGTTCCCACGCACCTCCCATGAAGGGTGCGCTCGGGGAATGTAGCACCGGATGAAATGAACTGATGACTCTTCTTGGATGGCTTCCTCGGCTGCCTTCTTCAACTCGACGTCAGCACCTTTGAGGTTGGTGCCTTGGTACCATAATTCACACCCTGCGGCTTAAGCGCCGCAGGGCCATTATGGCGGAGTCCGTGCTGAGGCTGCCGGCGATTTCCAGGTGGACTGCGCGCGTCGTTAAGCAGGTGAAGAGCACTCCGTACCGCTTCTGGTGAGTGCGGCCCACTGTCACGGTCATATGTAGTCTAGGCCGGTGAACGTGAACGGTCATGATGCGCCAGCCTGCTCTGTGGATGGTTGCCCGTTGACTGCGCCGGTCTTGCTCTTCGTAGGCGGCACAGCTGACACCTCTTCAGTTCACTGCGGACGGCGTGTCGTCAACACCCACAAGTGTTGTCGCACCTCGTTCGTGGTGATCTCGAAGCCGCCGTGGTGAAGTTTCCGATGCACCCATGCGATGTATAGGCGCACCCAGGCGTGGTTTCAGTCGACGAGGGGGGGTTCTCGTTGCTCGGCTGACAGATCGGCGGCGGCTGCTATTCTCGATCGAAGTCGCAGAATGTCGTCGTTGTCTATGACGACTGACAGCTGTATGAGTCGACTGGATGACGGCAGCTGTTTCCCTTGTTTCAATACTGCGATTTCGTCGCCGAACGCCTCTTGTTGTATCGCGCGAATCCATAGCCGTCGCGCGCGATCTACTGTCTATGGGGATGAAACACACAGATGGACTATTGCTGTTCTTGATTTTCATCTTCGTCTTCTCTCTATCGACTTTCTTCGTGCGGGTCCAAGTGGGGTCGGCGCTCTCTTTCTTCGTGTTTCTCTTTCGGATGGCGGTGCAGCGTTGACTGGTCGGTCGCAGGAGGTCGATGAACTGCAACACCCGTGCTGAACTGCGAACAAGTTTCAACCAATTAGAAAAACGTGACGGATCGGGTAATGCTATAGACAACTGCGTCGCGTTCTGTAGCTTGTGTACGCGTTCTTCTCCCGTTTCCGCTTGACTATCGTCGCTCGTACTATCTTCACGCGGCCACTGCTCTTCGGGGAGGTACAGGAAGTCCGGCCCACGGAACCATCTATGCTGCGAGCCGAAGTCCGTCGGTGGGTCGCGTGTGGCGTCGTCTGCTACGTTGTGCCGCGTCGGTATCCATCTCCACTCGTTCGTCTTCGTTTCTTCGACGATCTCGGCGACTCTATGCGCGACGAACGGCTTGTATGCGCGAGGACCGGTGCGTAGCCATGCGAGCACGGTGCGTGAGTCCGACCAGTATACTCGGCGAGCGGGCTTCAGGTCGTGTTCTTCGACTGCCGTGCGCGATAGGCGACACCCGAGGACGGCCGCTTGCAGCTCCAGTCGCGGTATCGTGGTCACCTTGCTGAGTGGGGCCACTCGTCCCTTTGCCGCGATCAGCGACACGTGGACCTCGCCGGTCGCGCTTACGGCCCGCCAGTACACGGCACAGGCGTACGCGTCCGAGCTGGCGTCGACGAATGTGTGCAGTTCCGCTGTATCGGCCGTGGCTACCTCCGGGTAGCACCGCGGCACCTCCAGCGCGGACAGCCGTCGCACGTGGTCCATCCAGCTCCGCCAGGCGTCCGCTTCCCGTGGTTGCAGCTCGGTGTCCCAGTCGATACCGGTACGCCACGTCTCCTGCAATATCTTCTTCGCCTGTATGGTGATGGGCGTGGCGAGGCCCAGTGGATCGAACAGCGACATGATCGCTCGTAGCGCTTCCCTCTTCGTCGGCGTCTGTTCCCCGCTGGCTATCTGTGGCGGAAGCTTGTGTCCGTTGAAGTTGAAGCCTAAGGTGTCTTCAGAAGGTCGCCATACCATCCCCAGTATCTTCTCCGCGTCGAGTTGTACCACGCTGCCCCCGCCGGTGTCGGAGAACGCGGCGCGCACTTGATGCGAGTTCGACGCCCACCGTTGGAGATAGTA